CTGTTACTTAAACTATGTGATGTATTTAAACTATACGTTAATTCGTCTCAAAGTATGCTCAGTTTACTAATTATTAATATCTTCATTTTCCCAATACTGAGAGGTATATCGAAATTTCTCGAAATTTAGAATTAAAGAGATTCAAAGAATTTTGGGATTTTCAGAAGAGTCAATCCATACACATAAACCACAGAGAAAAATATTAATTTATTTCTTAGCGTGTATTGTTGAAAAGTCATTCTCAAGACCATCGCTCACAGCGTTTCAGAAGTGTTTTGGATACTTCTGTTATACTATCTGACTGTACATTGTTGAAAACCAGGCTATGTTACCAGAACGATGTCCATTTAAGTTATGATTCTAAGATTCGGAATGCATGATGTTGTTAAACTTCTGAAAGTTCTAGAAGCATCATAAATATTACTAATTTAGTACATTGTTGCATTACGCTATGCGATGTATTTAAACTACACATTTGGTATCAAGCGGAATGAAAATCAAAAATACGTCTTGTAATGGAATAGATAGCTCAAGTAAACATTTTAAGAACTATGAGGAAACTAAATCTTGAAGCAAAAGGAAGAATATATTTGTTTGGACAACATCCAAGTGATCTGTTGACGGTTGTTTGGCCACGTGTGAATGAAAAATCTAGTACTGAAAAAAAGAAAAGGAAAGGGGGTAGAGTATTATTTCCTTCTTCTCTCTTTTTTTTTTTTTTTTTAATTCGTAAGAATTCTACTATGCCATGTCATGATATTTTGCTATGTTCATGAATATCTACTTTGATAATGCCCATTCCCATTTCACAGCTATTATGGAAATAATAATTATTGTATCAAGAGAAACATAAACTTCATTTGAACGGAGAGTGATAACGCACATGGTTTTTTGGGTGTATGAAAAGTAGATATCATAAGGCAGAAATCATAAGGTGGGTATCATAAGGTAGATATCATAAGGCAGTTTTAGTATTTAGAAATCGACGATGAAATATGTGGCTTTTTTGATTTTTTTTTTAACTTTTTGCTGGAACCTTAATTTTATTTGGTGTGATACAAAGTGAAGTAGATTGACACTTGCAATGTCATATATGTTACAGATGAAATCCTTCACTTAAATTTTCATGTTATTTCTGAAATCATAACCGATATTAACTATTTAATGTGGAATGTATTATTAAATAAGGACTTTCAGAAAGGAAAAATAGGTAGCTGTACTTTTTTTTATACAATTAGCTCACCTTTTCTGATTTATAAAACTAAAAGTTGCAATTTTAATGAAAATAATAGGTTTTGCAGAAAGAACTAATGCAGCATAAATAGTAATTGGTATCAAGTTCAGAATATTCATAGGTACAAACTTCTTGAAATTATGCAATTAAAACTAATTTCTCTTTGCGTTTTTTTTTTTTAAATGTAATTTTGAAAACACAACGATCAGTGAAAAAATTTGCATATTTACCAAAAAAAAAAAAAAAGTTTTGAAATGTCTACTTTATTTAAAAAAGAGATAACAACGTGTTATATATTTATTATATATAGTTTCAGTTTTAAGTGATAAAATGTCTGTTGCTTTCTATTAGAATATTTTTTAATGTGCGAAATCATGAATTCGGTTTGTTTTAGATGTTAGAAACGTCTACAATTTAGTTTCTCCATTTTTGTTTTGTCTTTCTTTCATACATTACTTTATTAAATATTTATCATTCAGTTTTGCTATTCCAAGAAGCATAATGTATTTCTTTATTATCCACATGATCTGCAACACAGATAATTCTCAGGCGCATTGCCATTAGACGTGGCATAATATCTTTAATTTATTTAAGGGCCTGTGTATAAACACTGTATATTATTAACCATACAACTACATACAATTAGTTTAATCATCATCATTTTCTTGTGAAACTTTTAGCAATTTCTTGTGGCCCAATGGGAATCTAAAGATCCTGAACTGAGGTAGTTATTCTAAGGAATAGCAAAATTTCCGTGAATAGAGGAGAATGTAATACTGAATTCGAAATCACTAAAATCTTTCAAAAGGACCTTATGAGCATTTTTTTTTTTCAAACTATGCATTTTACATTCTTATTGTGTACAGAGAAGAAAAGGGAATTATTCTTTGTTTTAAGATGGATACACTTTCTTTTATCTTCCTAGACTATCCATGGCCAGGAATGCTAAACAAACAATAAGCCAGCTAAACACTGAAAGCTCAACCCAGGCTCCAATCTTGGTAAATAGGTTTATTGCATAAGCGCTTTCGTCTTTTCCTCGTATGTAACGCGAACACAAGGTAGTTTTCCCTCGAAGATCCTCTACAAGCGCATTCCACCTCTGAGATAGATCCAAACACCGCTGACCCCCCCCCAAAAAAAATAATAATTAACTAATAAAAAGAAATCTGCGCATGTTAATATTTTGAAAGCTCTTTTTCCGCTAAACAGTTACAATATTATCTTTTATCCAATTTTATAATGAGTTCCAACATTCTTTATTTGCTGGGGTATAACATTTTGGAAAAGTTTGTGATGTGCGATAAATTAAAACGTCTATAATTAGTTTATTCATATATGTATATTATAATATTTTTCAATGTATTATAATATTTATTTACAAACATTTCTACTTTTCATGTTGTAGTTCTCGTATTCTTTATCGTAATCAAAACAGTTCAAACCAATCAAGAGTTCTTCCATTTCTTTTCTCTTCTTAATACAAATGCTTTAATTTTAAAGTTGCTTTAGAGCAGCGGTTCTCAACCTTTTGACTAACGCGTACCATCTAAACACAAAATGAAAACCTTTAGTACCATCACTAACAAGTATTACTACCATCACCACTCTTGAAAAAAGCTCAGATCGCATACATTTACGAGTGTTAGAGAAAAAACTCAATCAGGATTTTGGGGTTTCAATTTTTGAATTTAATAGTTAAAAATACTTTGCTTCTTTTGCGTTCCCCCTATTTTCTCTTGCGTACCACCATGGTACATGTACCATCGGTTGAGAACCCTTACTCTAGAGGCTTTAAACTGGTATTAAATGTTGTTAGTGAAATTTTATTTTAAATAGAACAATTATTTCTTATAATTAGGTTGACAAGAAAGTAATTTTGTATAGTACAAGGAGATAGCGTTATGTTCGTTGTGTTATTATTTTGTCTATCTTATAATTTTTTTCTTTTGAGATTAGGTTTTTGACACTTTTGGACTATTATAGAAACAAATTCCGTGTACTTTTATCTACAGTTGTAATTGCTGTTATGACCAACCAGTTTGAACATGGAGTGAAAAAATAAATCTTTTCGACATATTCTACTTTTTTATGATTATAAAGGCAAGAACGTGGCTGAGGGTCACAGAGAGATATGTCAAATTTGTAATGTTGATTGCTTATCATAACGCATGTCCAGAACTGATTTAAAACATTTTCATTCTGGAGGACTTAGAGATTCCGGAGAGATTCTTCAAGATTTGAGCCACTTGAAGATGATTAACGTTCTAGCCAAACTTCTGAAGTTGATAATGATAAAATTATAGCTATAATTGAATCAAGTCGTTATATAACTGAGCAAGGGGTTTCAGAAAGGTTAAATGCATCACACATAATAATTTAAACTCACATAAGATATCCTGGACTCGTCAAGAAGCTCGTTGGTTGGGTTCCGCATGAATTGAAAGAGATTCACTTAACACAACGAATCAATGCACATTTCAAACATAATGCAGTCTACCCATTTTTTAAATGAATTATCATTGATGATGAAAAATGGATTGTCTACAATAACATTAATCGAAAAAATCATCGTCCAAGCATGATGAATCAGGACAAATCATATCTAGATCTTAATTGCATCACAAAAAGATCATGCTATCAGTTTGGTAGGATTACAAAGCTGTTGTGCATTTTGAGCTGCTTCCAAGGAACCAAACGATCAACTCAGATGTGCCAACAACTTATTAAATTGGAGGAAGCAAACAGAAAAGGCCAGAATTGGCAAATCACAAAACAATCGTATTCCTCCACGACAATGCGAGGCCTCACACACCTTTAGCAACACGTACTAACTTAGTGGAGTTTGGTTTGGAAGTGATATCGTCTCCCCGACCTTGCACCATCGGATTATCATTTATTTCGATGTTTACAAAAATGGAAAAAATTGAGTAATAACGATAATCTCAAGTTGCATTTGTCTTTTGAGTTTTTTTGCCGATAAAGACCAGAAGTTCTATGAGAGCAAATTCATGAAATTACCAGAAATATGACAAAAAGTCATCGGGTAGAATGGAAGATATTTGGCTGATTAAAGATTATTTTCTCTAGGAAAAATTGAGTTTTATTTCACACACAGAAAAAGCAAAGTTACTTTCTTGCTAATCCGATAAATCCATAGCTAATTGTATAGTGACATTGTCAAAACATCAGAATGATCCAGCAAGTTTGGAAACCTGGAAAATGAAAACTCATCTGTATTCCGTGCACGACCCAAGCACATAAACATTCATAAACATTCTACTTGTCAAACCGTGAGAAATATGAAGCCAATCAAGCCTAACGGCACAATTTGTAATTACGGAACACTTGCTTGTAGTGCTGTTATTACGGTTATTTTGGATACTCTACAAGTATATTTCACACACACACACACACGTATATATATATAAATTTGGCGCAGATGCAGCGTCTATCTCTTTTTCATGTTTCTTCATTGCGAGATTTATACTTCCTTGAAGTTCTCAGAGAAACCGTAAAATAATATCAGATTACTAACAACTATGCGAAATAAAATGGATAATCAACTTAATCATGCAATTTACAGATACATTGTTACTTATGACAGAGATTTAGGAATTCCGTATAACAATAATTAAGACTCCCATTTAATCACATTTTGATATATTTGCTTATATTAAATATTAATATAATTATAATTCTTTACATATACTATTCAACGTTGCTCGCATCTTGTGCTGACTCTGATCTTTGCTATCTTTTTCAGACGGAGCCACCGGACCGGGAGCGCTGGGAGTCAGTAGAGAAATATTTGGATCAGTACGGCTACCTATCTTCATCTCCTCAAGGGGTGGCATATCTGAGGACAGAAGACAAGTGGAAGGAAGCAGTTCGGAGTATGCAGAGGTTCGGTGGCTTGCCTCCCACAGGCAATGTTGACGAGCGCACCCTCGCTCTTTTAAGACGCCCCCGTTGCGGCATGCCGGACTTGTCGCCTGGGGAGAGAGTGCGACGTTACGCAATACAAGGACAGCAATGGAATAAAAAGGATCTCACTTGGAGGTAAGAATGATTGTTTTTATGTAATAAATATAGTTTAAGTTGGACTTAAAAAAAAAAAAAAAAACTTTGTATCACCTGATTGTGTTCCTAACATTCTTAGCTATCCTTGTCAATAAAAAGAAAATATGTTGATCCCAATTTTTGGGTATAATGATAATCCACTTGTTTTCAATGTCTTCAGGATGAAAAAATGCCTTGACTTCAATATCTGACGCGCTCTTTCCCTCCTTGACTACCCTTGTAAACAATTATTATTAATCTCCATATTATCCAATAATAATCTCCAATATTAATCCATTGTAATCTCCAGTGTTAATCTTCATGTTCATATAGAGCCCATCCACGGCCGAGCAGTAAGCTGCTGAGCTCTGATAGTTCAACTCATGTTCAAATTCCGGCTAACGGGTTTGCTACATAGAAGTTGCCATTGTTTTCCCATATTTAAGAGCTAGCTTTCCTTAAAAATTTATTCACGAGAACACCGTTTCTCTTAAACAGACAGCCCTCGCGTGCGTGGTCATAGTTTAAGTAATCCAAACAATATCATAATAAGATAATGATAACCCCAACAGTTTCTTCCTTAACTTTCATGCGAACTAAAAAAGAGTAGAACTGAAGTCAAACCTATACATACATATCCATATGCAATAAAAGGCGGATGATATGGGCAAAGTTAGGAAGAGAATTGAAAAGCGTCTTTTCTAATGTGTTACAAAATAAAATTTAAATGCTGTAAGTTGTAATCACAATTCACTGTTATTGCTTTGAATTTTCCCTACTTTTAATGAATCTTGGCCTGTGTCATGATAACGTTTATCTTTACAATTAGCTCGATTCACACATATGGTGCTTCATGCGGAAGACGTTATTTGTTGCAAGATGATCCCATTTTCTATGATTCTGATATACAGGGTAGTTCAAAACTATATGTCAAATATGTACAGGCAGGTAGAGGGGGCCTAAATAAGCAGATTTCGTATAGGAATGTGTGTGCGGTAATGCCGCATTGAGTGGGTAGAGAGTGCTGATGAGTACGGCTTATAAAAGCGCTGCGCTAGCTGGATTCTTCATTTTCCGCACGGATCTCGAGCAGCATGCATTGTTACATCAATTCGGAGCTTGCCGACATGCATTTCATATATGGGGCTGCACAAGGAAATGAATTCCTCCAGCTGTTCGCAGATGAATGTGGTTCCAGCACGATGAAGCCCCAGCTCACTTCAGCAAGAACGTCAGGAATCACCTGGACGTTGTCTACGGCCAGCATTGGATAGGACGGAGAGGGCCAGTTCTCTGGCCACCGCGTTCTCCTGATTTAACCTGCTTGTATTTCTTCTTTTGGGATCATATTAAAGACCTCGTATATGGGAGTCCCGTTCACATCTGAAAAAGATCTTGTTGCCCGCTTGTCTGTTGCTATTGGACATGTGCCCGACATGCATGACTTCGTGTCTAATGTAGGCTGATCCATGTACCGCCGCTGTGAATCTTGTATCGCTGTTGGTGGCTGCTCTTTCAAGCACCTATTTTTGACATATAGTTTTGAAACACCCTGTATAGTACTTTCTAAACAGGAAGGCATCAAGTACAAAATCATTTGTGTCCCAAAGGATAACTCAGTGTGGCTTAATAAGAATCTAACCTCCTAGACAACCTGTCGAGTTGCATCTCATCCTTAATGAGCAATACCAGAACTATAAGTAAGCACTTTAAAATAAAACAACTAAAAATTAATTTTGACTTCAGCTCGAATTACAGAATAAGACTAGCACAAGTTTATTTCCGCATCTCCCGGGAATGGCAGTTAATAATGAATTAAATTCTATACTATACGACAGCTACTAAATGTTTAAACAGATGGAGCTTGACAATCTGGTAACGATACTGTTTGCAAAAGAGGAGCTTTACTGCTATTACTTATTGCAAAAAAGAAGCTTTACTGTCAGTCCTCTCGCCTTTAAATGTAAATTATTACTCCTATTCAAAACTTACCCACTTGTATATTCTGGTACAGTAGACAAAACAGTAGGGAAATAGGACAAATTTTAACATAAGAAATAAGTATTAACTAGAATAAACTTTACAAGATATAGAAAGCTGCTTTTTCGCCATCTTTATCTTCATTTCTTTGAACTTTAAAATCTAATCGTATGTTGTTTCATTGCATTTTATTGGTTAGCTTGTAACTTTAGCCATTGAGATGGTCGTTGACAAACATAAGTTGTTTGGCAATACTTTGCATTTAACAGCGATATATGTAAATTTATGATATGGGTGTGTGCAATGCGGTTACACATACAAAATTTCAATTGTTTAATATATTTTAATTGTTTATATATTCTCTTATATTTAAATAAAAGCAATTTGATTGGAGGTTCATTTACGAAAAGAAAATTTACGTATAGTTTTAATTTTAGGAAGTGCATGAATAATTGTGATCCAGTTGTTTTATTTTGATATTGTAGATCAGTAGATTGCTTGCAAAACTATTGGAGGATCTTGTTAAGAAATTAACTTGATATTAAGAAAGTATTTAATTCGAAACCATCATTTTACTTACTTCATTATAAAAATTTCATCAATCAAAGAATGTATTCTGAAACAAACTTATGGGCTTGCAGAAGCTTTCGTTATTTCGATAAGCCATTTTTAATGTAAACTTCCTCTAATCTAATATTATTAAAAGTTGCTATATGGGGAGTATGATGCTTTCGACAGCAAACAATGTCGAAATTTTCTTTAAATTCCTAGGGGGAGCTCATTGCTTATTTAAAATATTTTATTAGAGAAATTGCACATTATTATATTGAAGTAAAATTTAATTTTATCTTCGGTAGTATATTTTTGAGAAGAAATCTTAAAAATGTCTTGAAACGATAGATTTCCGATATATGGTCACATTTATATATACAAATCACACACACACACAAATGGCTTTTTCTTTGAAAACGTACTTGCATTGATATTTACATATAAACCCAGAAGTCCATGGCAAATTATTTTGATTTCAACATTTATGGCACGAAAGTTCGGAAACACTTTTGAATTAAAAATTTTTGAATACTTAAAAAATGCAGCATATTTTTAAACAAAATTAATCACTCAATAATTCATTTCTTCTTGGGGATACATTAAAATAGGTTCGCATAGTACAATTAGCTAAGTAACATCATAAAATAAAATTTCAGTTACATTTGAGGGATAGAATATTATAAAAGAATGCCTAAATATAGAAAGACCTCATTTTGAGGAAAATTTTAAAAACCAAACAAATAGGAATGTTTTCAGCAACGTAAAACAATTTTAACTTTCTTGGGCCATAATTATGTTTGACTTATCTACAGCTTTACTTATTTCCTTTCATTGCCTTGTAAAGATTCTTTCTTCTTGAGGGATTTTTTGAAATATTGTTTCGATTTCTAAATATGGATTTTGTCAATTATATAAAGTTCCTTACATTTACTAGTGTGTGGATTAATTCCTGAAGCTTTCAACACTTCAGTTCTATAAAAATACCATTTTTAAAAGAATACTATATTCACCTCTGTAATTTTCAAAGTATTTACACCAACGAACTACTTACGGGAGTTTTGAATCCGCCAAAAGATATACTCAAGGAATTGTTTCTTCAAAACTCAGACCTCTGAAAAATGTGTGCTGTTGTTGACATAATTCTAAAATGTAATAGACGTAATTCTGAAAGAAAATACCTATGAATAAAAGTGATTGTTGGCATTAATTGAGTATAATAATTAGAAAAATATTGGGAAGTCTCTGTCAAAAGCTATTTAAAAGAAACCTTTTAGGAATTACTTCTTTAAAAAAGCAGAATGGCTCTATTAGTTTAGAACTTTTACCTTTATTTAAGGAACTTTTGTTACATCAGACCTAAATCTGTTTTATAATTTCGGAATTAACAGACAAATAAAAAAATTTGAAAGGGTTCTTCTACAGACATTTGTAATTTCAAAGCTTACGCAAATTTAAAACACATAAATAATATAGATTTGATCGGTAAAAATTATTTCTAAGGAGCGATTCGGCGACTTTTTTAAAAAAGATCACCAGAGTATCGATATTTATAGTAACCTGACAAACATTATCAACATATGTCGAAAGGAAACAATGAAAATGCAATTTAAAATACGGATTTGAATTAAATAAAGATTATATGATACATTAAACATTATGCATTCTATATTATATGATACATTATTGTTGTTCTGTCCATGTACATAGCGATGTGTTTTCATTAAAAAGAAATCTGAAAATTGCACAAATTCAGTATCCCACAAAGCCTCGACATTGCATACATTAAAAATTATATATATTATACTATATGATGCATTGCGGTTTTTCTTCCGACAAACAAAGCTAACATTGGATAACTGCATGAACTCGGTGTAGTGTACCGGTAAGTAAGGTTATCAGATTAAAATAATTACCTAACAAGAAAATCTCCAAATTTGGCATGTCCTTCATACTTCGTTTTAGGCATTCCATCTGTGCAGAAATTTTTACTTAGTTCTTTGCTTTAAACTAAACTTTACTTTTTCAAATAGAAGTAGCAAAAATTCGTTTTGTCAAATTTCTCAAGTTAAAATATCTTTCAAGGAAAGACGTCGAAGATTTTTTAATGAATCTTGCTTTTGCTACAATATATCATGGGTAGGTGAAAGAAATGGAAGTACGCCAGGTTTGCTTTCCCACTCAGTAACAGTTTTAGTCTGAAAATTATTTCCTCCTCAATTTTTTGCACTATCGGAGCTGATGAGTTGTATTATACAGACTCTTAGTGTCTTAAAAGTATTTATTTTGTTGGCTGCGTTCCTGGAAAGTGGGAGAAAAAAGGCTTTCATTTCGCGTTATTTATTTATGACCATACACTCAATGCGTAGTTAAATAAATAGTGTTAAAGAATTTTAAACTGTAGTTTCGGCAAGAAAATGATTGTTGTCAGAATAGGAATTCATTCAGACTTCTCGAATAAAAAACTTCCA